ACATTGCAATCTGTGATCCACAATCTGCACAAGGGAAAGGTCCTGTGCACCTTTATACCCAGGGGAACAAAAGCGGCAACATGCCAAGCAGCAGTTACATCAGCATGACTTCACTGTACACAGCTGTGGCTATCTAGGAACACAAGGTACCTTCCAGCAGGGCCACAGGTAAGAAAGCCCAAGCACTTTCGGGTGTCCCTATAGTGAGTTTATGTAGCAAGTAATATATGAATATATACAATGTAGTACATATAAATGCATACATATGTATAAACATTTTTATGAAACATAAACGTAATTATTTTCAATAAATCTATACTGCATTTGTAACATCACATTCTTACTACTATATTAAGTAATGCTATACATGGATAATTTCAGGAACAACTATTCTCATTAGATATTCCATAAATGACAACATTTCATTCTATTTGTTCAAATGGTTTTAACGTTTATATTTGTTTTGTTTTCCTCTCTTTGCAAATGGTTTTCTGCATGTCCCTATTTATGTGAATGTATCTGTACCTGTAGATATTCCATATCATACTATTCAGCTTTTCAACACTAATGTTTTGTAAAAAACCATTAAAAACACAGTAGTTTACTAAGCTCTAAATATGTTTACAGATGCTCAGGTTAATCTGCTGATTTATGTAGAGTTCAGGATGGTGGTTCTGCTGTAGATCACTGAGATTACCTTCAGAATACTGATTTTGCTAGATCTCATGCCAAAATTTCAGGGGTGGGGATGACCGTGGGCAATGAACATTCTGAGGTCAATGACATAAACAAACTGAAGTCCCAACATCCCCAACACAGGTACACAAAGTTTTCTTATATTCTTTTCCCTTAATAATTCCTCAAGTTTCTAAAAAATTCACTCCATTTCATGTTTGAAATAAATTGATCATGTGACTGACAAATAATTATGTTTTACAAGGCTCAGCATTAAAAAGAAAATGTTATTTTCTATGAATGGAAATTTAAATTAAATCAAATTGTGTTAAAGATAATTTTGGTGTGTTTTTTCAAAATGTGACGTTAAACAAATTTTGTATACTGGTGTCATTGAATAAAAACGTTTGAAAAACCTGCTTATGTAAAGTGGACTTTCCCTAAATCACGGCTTCTTAAACCTGATTAGGATGCCCTGTTATCTCAGTCAGAGGTCTAAGTCGGGTCTGCTATTTTCCATGTGGAAGATGCCCTTAGTGGTGCTGGCTTCTGGACTACTTTTTAGGAGAAAAATGTTTATGTTGTGTGTGTGTATATGTGTATGTTTATGTTTTCATGTGCATATATTTATAGTCAAAAAAGGGATTTTTTTATTTGTCCAATGACTGATATACAAAAGTAGATAGATATAATGGATAGAATGATATAATGCAGTCCTGTTTCCTATTTACCATAGGACTTAATGAAATTTTCTTGCTAAAATCTCAGACCTGTTGACAGTATTTGGAAGCACACCCGAGTGTACTCTAGGTTTATTACCTAACTGACAAAATTCTGAGAGTTGAGAAGTACTGGCCACGTGGGACATAAGCTGACAGTTCCCGCATCATCACCATCATTCTGGAAGCACATTAGGCTGAGATTATTTTCCATCTCTGATTTCTCTAGAGTTATTCAATGAGGGGGCCCTCCATGAGATTTGGAACTCAGAAGAGGAGTATTGGATACTACCCACCAGCACCTACAGCCAGACATAAGAAGAAATGTGAGGTCTGGAGACTTATCTGGCCAGGTGCTGCAGCCAACTAAGCGCATCAGCACCACCACCCCTGGGCTTCCCAGACAGGTCTGTTGAGCATGTGGTGAGGCAGCCCATACATTCCAAGGCAGATGCACCCTGGTTTTTTGAAGCAACCAGGTTATCCCCACTTTCTAATATCTGCATCTTTCATTATCATGACTATCATACCCCCATCATTCATTTAAAAATTAGAATTTAGACTCTCATTCCTTGTACATAAATGCTATCCTAGATGGAATACCTGGAGTGGCTTCTCCTGTGTGGTATGATGCCACTGATGCCATACAGAGATTCCAGGTATAATCACCTCTATCTGTAGTGAGATCAGGAGAGGCATTGACAGTTTGTGCTGCTGTGGTAAGGAGGAAAGAGACACACAGCAGAGTGGGGCTTCCCAGATCTCTTCTGTTAAAACTGGGTAGTGATCTTCAGAGCATGTCTGCCTGTCAGAAATGATCACAGCAGATGGAGGCACCAGGAGGAGCAGCTGAGGCAGCCCAGCCTCCCACACCTGCTTCCTTGAGGGGTTTATGTTCAGGCTTATAACACTGTGAAAGGGTAACTGGAACCTTGTTGACAGTAATAATTTCCAACATCTTCAGCCTCCAGACCACTGATGGTGAGTGAATAATCTGTCCCAGATCCACTGCCTCTGAACCTTGATGGGACCCCAGTTGCCAAATTGGATGTACCATAGATTAGGAGCTTAGGAGGTTTCCCTGGTTTCTGCTGATACCAAGCTAAAACATTATAAATGCTCTGACCGGCTCGGCAAGTGATGGTGACTGTGTCTCCCACAGATGCAGACAGGGAGGATGGAGACTGGGTCATCTGGATGGCACAGCTGGCACCTGAGATGGGAAACATAGAAACAAATATCCACACAATTAACCATGTTATAAGAGGACTCCCCCCACCCTGAGGAGCCAGGCAGAAGTGACCACACTGTCTGAATAAATCCCTGGTGTTCTCCCTCCTCACCTGGGACCCAGAGCAGCAGCAGCCCCAGGAGCTGAGTGGGAGCCCTCATGTCCATCTGTGTCCTGACAGGGACTGACTCCTGCACAGGGTGAGGGTGTGACCAGCCTGTTAATAAGTCTCCTGGGTCGGGGCTGTGCCTTGGGAACATGCAAATCAGCAGGGGCGGGCAGGCTGGGCACAGCTGCCGGGCTGGCCAATCTCAGGGACTCAGCATAATCCCAGTGTCCCCAGATGTCCCAGAGCAGACCAGGGCAGCACAGATTCGCCTGTTGAGAATGTTTTTCTCTCTGGGAGGTTCTGGGACATATGTTAGGTTTAGGCTCTCACTAGGTGCTCACAGCACAGAGAAGAAAGACTTCTCACCCACAGGTTAGGATAGAAAGAAGTAAAAAGTTTATTTACTTTCCTGAGGAAAAAAAAAGAAAGAAAGAAAAAGATAGAAAGAAGGAAGGAAAATGGCACAGCACTGAAGGAAACTAGAGGGAAGTGCTGGCAGCAGAGGAAACGTAGCTCAGGCTTTTTGAGAGGAACAAAGGTTTGGTTTTGTTTGCTACAGACTGACAACTGGGGTGGCTGAGAGATGTCAGGGAGTTTGCTACCCTTTATTTCTTTCTCCTGGACGTGAGTTTGTCATTAGAAGCTGGTCTGGCAGAAAGTGAGGCAGGGAGCTCACACCCCTTGCTCGCTGCTCAGGGTTCTTCAAGGCTGTGAAACAAACTCTAAGATAGAGGGAGGGTAAATGGTAGGACCACATGTATGGAGTATATTTCAAGGGTACAAGTCAAATCTCAAGTATAAAACATAAATGTCTTACCACAATAATCAAGTAAATGAGGCAAAAGCTATATTAACTAGTTTGATGTAAGCACTCCAAATTGTATTAAAAAATCAACACATTGTACCCCACATATGCATAAGTGTATTCATGATCTATGTGTATACGACTTAATAAAAGGAAAAGAAAAGAAAAGAGAGATATGAATTAAGCTTAAAGACAGTGAGTTGAGCAAAGCCAACCTCTCATGGCTGTCGATGTTTAGTATCCTGTGAAGAGAGTGCTATTTATATCTCTCAAATGTTAAGGCATGCTTTTCCTGTTACCTTTCCATTTATGTATGGTTTGGGGGGGTGGCACAACCCCAGACACTGTAAGATGGTTTACAGGCTTCTTGTGTTTAGTACCAGAGAATAATACTAAGGCCAGACAGGCTTCCTCTTTTCTCTGATTCCCTGATGCCCTCACGTGATAAGTTATCAGCACTACCACCCAGAGATCCCATGAACTAGGAGAGTGAGAAAAATCATAGGAGTCATGATTTGTAAGAGAGGGCAGCTGTGTCATCATTAACCGGTCATCTCCAGCTAGGTGATCCATCTTCCCTGAATGCTCTGCCCCGCTCTTTCCATCAGGACAGCAAAGATCAAAGACTTTGTCCCTCCCCATCTGAGGAGCATCAGCTGCTTCCTGGCTCTGTTGCTACTTCACATATTCATGCTGATGTCCCCTGAGTGCCTCAGATTATTGTGTGTGCTCCCCTTACATGCCCTCAACCCAGCCCAGCCCTTATATACATGGAGTCTTCCACAGAGCCAGCATTCGTGTGCACCCTTAAATCAACTGTGTTCCCTATACCTACATGTTCCAGCATCACAAAATCTCTTCCAGTTCCTAAGAAAAGGCAATTCTCAATGTCTTGAGTGAGACAGTGGGGCCCAGCAGGGTGAGGGAAGAAACAGTCAGGAAATGGAGGTGGAAACCCTTCTTTGGGTTATAGAAGCTACAGTAGGGGAGGAGGGTGTCCCCACCCAGGAGAGGTGGTGCTGCTGGCCCTGCCTGGGTGACGCAGAGAGTGTGATAAGCAGGGCATACACATGGGTAGAAGCCCATAGTGCAGGATTCAGAGCTTATGCAGGGGGAGGAGAACACCCACATAACAGGTGAAGAGATATTTATGGCCAGGAAACGGGCATCAGAGGTGGAGCAGGATGTGTGGATCTGTGTGTGATGAGTTTTCTGCAAGGGAAGTATAATGAACGATGACACAAAGAGACTGGTTTTGAACAGGGAGATTGATCAGTAAGGAAACACATTAATGATAATTACATCCAAGAGTCTGACTGTTAATGAAAAGGATTATAATAATAAAAGAGGTATATTTGAATAAACTCTGTGGTTTTGTAGCAAATTTGATATCTCCATGCAAGCTCATCTTTTTAGGTATAGAAAATAAAGTGTACGTTTTTGAGCAGATAAAAAGATAATTTTTACTAGTGGAGAAGCAATGACACCCCAGCCCCAAATGGCACCCATGATACCCAAATCATCCTTTCATTTCTAAATGGCATTTTCTTATTTAAAAAAAAAAAAATACACCAATCCTCAGAGAAATGTCTCTTTCTAGGTCCAGTATAGAAAAAGTACCAGATGAGCTTGGACTTTTTTGAAACCAAAGAAACACTCAAAAATGAAGTGTCATGGCAAAAGAAAGAGAAGCCCACATGAATAGGATATCAACTGGCTAAATCTGAAAAATTATGAGTATCAAAATAATTAATGTAACATGGTAGAATCCATTAAAGAAAATATAAATCTATGAGTTCATACTGACAATTTAAGAAGTAATTAGATAATCATAAAGCATCAAACAATTCACCACACATTTTTATTAATTACCAATGGGAAAATAACCACATATCAGTATATTCTGACAGTCACCACCTTAATCCATCTTCAAAATGAATATCATCAATGATGCAGGAGATTAAAAATCATGCACCCAATAGGGTTTAATGAGAAGAGCAGAGCATCACTTCTGGACAATTCCATCTACTATGGGCTGAATTGTGTCCTCACATAATTCATATGTTGACATTGCGATAGCTAGTACCTCAGGATATTGCTATATTCATAGTAGTAGGATAGCTGGATCAACTTTTAGTTCTCTGAGGTATGTCCATACTGCTTTCCATAGAGGTTATACTAGTTTGCAGTCCACCAACAGTGCCTAACTCTTCCTTTCTCTCCGCACCCACACTCAGACTTGGTATTTTGGGAGTTTAGATGAGAGCCATTCTTACCGGAGTTAGGTGATATCTCATTTTGGTTTCGTTTTGCATTTCCCTGATGATTAGAGATGTTGAGCTGTTGTGTTTTTTGCTCATTACACTACCTTGATTTTAAAAGTCTTGTCTTTTGTCCATTTTTAATCAGATTGTTTGATGTTTTCTTGCTGATTTGTTTGAGTTCTTTCTAGATTTTGGTTCTGAGCCCTTTATTGGGTAAACAGTGAGCAAATACTGTCTCCCATTCTGTAGTCACCAGCCACCCCATTCTGTAGGGTGTCTCTACGTTATTGATTGTGTCCATAGCTGTGCAGAAACTTTTTAATGTCATCAAGACCCATTTGTGTATGTTTGCTGTGGCTATGACTGTGTAGGGGTCATCATCCCTAGGCCCACATCTGTTCTTCTTTGTTGTTGTTGTTCATCAGTAAGTTTCCCTCTGCCTGCTGGGGCTCAGGCAGGAGACTTTTCATCCCCACTTAGACTTCTGATGAGTAGCTGAGAGTCTCCAGATCTTATCAGAAAGCCTCTGTCTAGTGTTCTTTTGTGTATCCTCATGTTATTTTCTTATTTCTTTCTCACCATCTTAGCAATAAGAAGACATGTCCTCCTTTTCCTATAGTCTTTAGCTCCTAAAAATGCCATCGTAATCACAATATTATCCTCATACTGATTGATGAACTTACAGACTGTGTTAAGAGACAAAGCCATGTGCTCATGAAGCCCCAGGAAGAGCCAGGCTGCTGTCTAGGACCCATCCCAGTGCTGCTCCCAGATTGTCCCATCAGCCAGCTCTGCAGGATCCCTCTGTGCTGTCATCCCTCCATGACTTTGGATTTAGAGTCCATATTTTCTGATTAGGGTCCTGGTTTATGATCTGGTTGACCTTGGACACGTGTCATGACCATTTTCTCCTACAGTGTCATCAACTGCAAGATAAAAATAAAACATGACTTTTTATATCAAGACTTAATTCATGGCATCCATTAACTGTTCATTTATATTAGACCCATTCTTAGCTTTGTTGTTAAGTATATAATTCAAGACCCTTAAGATAGATTAGAAAAATATTGCCACATGTTCCTCCATACAGAGTAGAGTCTATTTCTCCCTGTATTGAATCTAGGCTGGTCTCTGGACTTGCTTTGAGCAGTAGATTGTAGAGAAAGAAACACTGTGCCCAAGAGGTCAGGCCTAAGAGGCCTGGCAGCTTCCACCCTTTGCTCTTAGAAGGTAAAAAACTGATCTAGTCTGTGGGAAGATGAGAGGTCAAATAGAGGAGACTGAGGCACCAGCCACCAGCCAGCACCAAGTGCAGATGCTAGCTAGTAAAGCCATCCAGGGACATAATAAAGGGTTTGTAGTCAGCAGTGGGCATGGTCATTTCTGTGGGAAGAAGGATTTTATCTCTGATATGTTCCAGATTGGCCAGTGTGTGTCAATAACAAAAAGAAGTGTTATTATTACTATAAACATTTCTACAGATGATTTTCTCTTAACTGCCTGAGTCTGAGATAGACTGCTCCCACCTCCCCTCCCGCTGTCAGGTCACCAAGAGGAAAACTGAGGCACTTGTCTGACAGCCAGCCCCACCTGCAGGCATGTGGGTGAGGACAACCGTAGCTGCCCAGCCCACTGGCCCAGCTGAATGCCACCATATCAGGTGCTCAGGCAAAGCAATAGAGAAACCTCCCAGCCAACCCCCAGAATAATCCAAAATAATACGCCTTGCTATCGAGTCTATAAGTTATGGGGTGCTCTGTTATGCTTCAATAGAGAATCAAAACCTCAAGAAACTGACCCATATATAGCATCTGTCTAAACCTCAATTTGCCTCCAATGCTCTTCCCCATTTTTATTTGTGCGGATGTGGTTTACTGTGAGGAAAAAGCTTTTCGACCTGCCTCTGCTTCTCCAGGTCAGAAAACACAGTCTCTGACAACATATACATGCACCACATGGACACTTCACTCCTCTTAGATGTAGCTCCTACAGGAAGAAACTTTCTTTGA